TGAAATAATAAGATTAATTAATAATAAAAGCAAAAGTTGAAAAAAAAGTGATGAGCTAAATTAACAAAGAAAGAAAGAAAGAAAGAACAAAAAAAAGCAAACACAATAAAAAGAAAAAGAAAAAAGAGCTTTATTGTTTTTAATTAGTTTTTATAATTAAAAAGATCACAATCTAAAACAAATAAAATGTTTTTACTCAAGGTAAAGTGTCAAATTTGAGAGATTAATGCAATTTGCTAAAGCAGAACCTAAGCCTGATACACCTTCATCACCAATTTTATTCCAACTTTTTAAATATTGAAGAAAAAATATATCATTAAATGGTTAATTTGAAGGAAAGAATAAAGAACAAATATGAAATAAAAAGATTAATTAATTAATAATATAAGCAAAAGTTGAAAAAAAAGTGATGAGCTAAATTAACAAAGAAAGAAAGAACAAAAAAAAGTAAGCACAATAAAAAGAAAAAGAAAAAAGAGCTTTATTGTTTTTAATTAGTTTTTATAATTAAAAATATCACAATCCAAAACAAATAAACTGTTTTTACGTAAGGTAAAGTTTCAAAATTGAGAGATTAATGCAATTTGCTAAAGCAGAACCTAAACCTGATGCACCCATTGCACCAATTTAATTTTCACTTTTTAAATTTTGAAGAAAAAATTTATCATTAAATGGTTAATTTGAAGGAAAGAATAAAGAAAAAATATGAAATAAAAAGATTAATTAATAATAAAAACAAAAGTTGAAAATAAAGTGATGAGCTAAATTAACAAAGAAAAAAAGAAAGAAAGAACAAAAAAAAGCAAGCACAATAAAAAGAAAAAGAAAAAAGTGCTTTATTGTTTTTAATTAGTTTTTATAATTAAAAATATCACAACCCAAAACAAATAAACTGTTTTTACTTAAGATAAAGTGTCAAATTTGAGAGATTAATGCAATTTGTTAAAGCAGAACCTAAGCCTGATGCACCTTCATCACCAATTTAATTTCCCCTTTTTAAATTTTGAAGAAAAAATTTACCATTAAATGGTTAATTTGAAGGAAAGAATATAGAAAAAATATGAATAAAAAGATTAATTAATAATAAAAGCAAAAGTTGAAAATAAAGTGATGAGCTAAATTAACAAAGAAAGAAAAAAAAAAAGAAAGAAAGAAAAAAAAGCACAATAAAAATAAAAAGAAAAAAGAGCTTTATTGTTTTTAATTAGTTTTTATAATTAAAAATATCACAATCCAAAATAAATAAACTGTTGTTACTAAAGGTTAAGTGTCAAATTTGAGAGATTAATGCAATTTGCTAAAGCAGAACCTAAGCCTAATGCACCTTCATTACCAATTTAATTTCCACTTTTTTAATTTTGAAGAAAAATAAATCATTAAATAGTTAATTTGAAGGAAAAAATGAAAAAAAAAAAATGAAATAATAAGATTAATTAATAATAATAAAAGCAAAAGTTTAAAATAAAATGATGAGCTAAATTGACAAAGTAAGGGCAGGGTATTGTTAATTAGGACAATTTTTAAATTATTATTTTTTAGAAGAAATACTCCTTCTAAAAAATAATAATTCAAACATTCTCCTAATTAACAATATCCTACCGAAGTAAGCACAATAAAAAGAAAAAGAAAAAGAAAAAGAAAAAAGATCTTTATTGTTTTTAATTAGTTTTTAGAATTAAAAATATCACAATCCAAAATAAATAAACTGTTTTTACCTAAGATCAAGTGTCAAATTTGAGAGATTAATGCAATTTGTTAAAGCAGAACCTAAGCCTGATGCACCCATTGCACCAATTTAATTTTCACTTTTTAAATTTTGAAGAAAAAATATATCATTAAATAATTAATTTGAAGGAAAGAATGAAGAAATAATATGAAATAAAAAGATTAATT